GCTCCGAAGCCGGCAGGTGCGGTCTGTATGGAGAAAAGCGGCTGTAGCCCCTTCCCGATGTGCTGGGCTAAAGGTACACATCCCTCTCTTTATTTATTTACTCCATATCTGTTTTTCCCTTCTCCCCCCCCCCGCGTTAATCTAATGTTTTACCACCTGTGGGTATTAGAGGGTTTTGTGGTTTTTTTCCCCTATCACAAGAAAAGAATCAGCTTATTCTGGTCATGCGCTGGCAATGCGCAGCAGGAGCTTCTTTCACCTGACAGCTGTAATGCTTCCCCCCCTCCCTTTTCCTCCCCACCGCTTTTCGGAATGGCTCGAAATGAAATAACACTCGGGCTGTTTGGTTTTTCCTTCCCCTGGCGTGAGGGTCTGAGGGCTTTGTTCTTGATCTTTGTGTGCTTGAAACCGCTGTGAGTGTGATTCTGCTTTCACGCGCCTTTTGGAAGCAGCAGGTTTTAAGTGGCTGATATTATAGGTAGAGACTTAACATCTTTTAACTTGATGTCTTAGAAGTCGCCACCTTTATTCATACTCCCCCCCAAGAGACAATAAGGAGCCACGAAGCGTGCATTTATTACAATGAGAGGGTTTCACTTGAAATTGAAGCTTCACAATAACTGGATGGAAATGTGAAACTCATTCACGCTGTTACCTTAACTTGCATTTATGTCATTATCCCGAAGATACTTACCCTGTTACCATCCAGAATGTACTTGTCTGTTGGTGTTGTGTGTCTATGAAGATAGAGGACAGGGATAAAACAGCAGAAATTCAGTTAGTAGCCAAAGAATCAAGTCTTCCTTAGATGGAAAACAACATCCAAAGGTTGAGTGTTGCCGATTGTCAGCATCGCTTTCCTCGTGTTCACTTTCATTTCAGTGTACTTTCTGTTTTGGAAGAGAAGCTGCCAGTGAAGTTTTGCGTCACCATGGTCTTGGATTGCAGACAGAGGCTGTTCCTTCAGGAGTTCAGGGGAAGTGTATCTGAACTCTAAGGAGCTATTAGGCGTAGCTGGTGATTACTTGTCTTGCAAAATATAGCAGTAAATGTATTTATAGTTTTTATTGTCTTGTTATTGGGAGGAGACACGAAGAAGCATTTCATGTTGTCTTTGTTTTGGGTGCATTTTGTACCTTGCTGAGCATTTGGGGCTAAACTGGTGTTTGGCACATGACAGAAGCACACGTCCTAGAAGTAACATAAAAAGGACTTGAACACCACATCCTGGTAGTGTCTCATGAAGTTTAGAGTCTCTCAACTCACTGTGGAATCACAGTTAATGAAACAGTAGCAGTAGGTGGGAACAAAGCTAAAACAAAGCTGTGCTTTTAGTGAAGCTTTTAGCAAAACTTGTTTATCAGGAAGGGGTGATAGCAATGCCTGCTCTTGTGTGTGCCATAAGCTGGGTGATGAGACTGGGATTCATCTCCTCCTTTGGGATATTCTGAGGGTCAGAATGAAGGTATTTCCCAGGGAATAATTTTAAAAAATAAGGAAGAAGAATCTTTTCAAAGAAAAAGCAAGTTGTTACCATCTGTTGTCAAGGCTGGCTAGTACTGGAGATACCAGTTTTCTCCCTCCTGCTCCAGCAGCAGAGAATGACAACAGCAGGGCTAGCATCTTCTTGCAGAAGATGGCTTCATTGGGCCATGATAAAAGGTATTGATTACCACCCCCACCCACTCCAGCAACTAAAATGAATGAAAAACGATCCCTCCCTCTTCCCCTGATGGCCTGTGAAGTGTTCTCAGAACACAACTTGAGGAAAGATTGCTTACCCAGCCTTCTCTGCCCCGGAATGGAGAGCAGCCATGTAATCTCTTTTTATTCCTGTTGGGGGGAGACCAGGAGTTGCATAAGAGGACAAAGGCACCAGCATCTTCCCAGCTATCAACTGTGATGATTTCTGGAAAAAAACTAAATCTCAGCCTCCAAAAAAAAATTAAAATAGGACAGATGAGAAATAGCTTGTGCTGTATTTGTCATTGAATGGTGGCTATTCCTTAGTTGATGAGTACTCTGAATACAGTTCACTAGCTTAACCTTAGGGAAATGAGACGGATCTGGCCTACTTTGATAAGGGCTGTGAGATATCTACAGTCAAAGAAAGGTAATGTATTAATGAGAGATATGTTAGTTTGGATAGTTTTATTCCATCTTGGGCTTTTCTGTTACAGCTTCAGATAACCTGCAGGAAAAAATTGATAAAGCTTTTAAAAGTATTTTATAATGTCTTAAAAATGTGATCTTGGTATAGATGTTTTATTATCCATAAATTCATTCTAAATGATCTGTTCTCTTTTGTTTTTAATGTGACAGATTAAGCTTTCCGTGTATGAGTTGTGATCTCATAGCAAATGTTGCTTCTTTGCAAATGCTTTGAAATGTTTTAGTGAGTCTGTGTTCATATAGAATGTGTGTCTACTTTTTTTAGTGTTCTTAAATCTAAAAAAAATTTCAATCTTCTTAATGATATTACATGCTGACCTAATTGCAGCCACTCCTGTGTGGTCAGTCTGTAGGACTGAATCAAAGAAAAAGATAGTTGCTTTCTTTATAAAGTGTTCATGTTATCTGTATATCATTCAAGGCAGGTTTTCCCTCCTCTTTATGCCAAAGTCACTCCTAAAGTAATGTTACTGAATTCTAGTTCAGTCTGGATCTGCATACTCCAGATTGGAGAATATTTAAAGAGAGTGTGTATTTTGTTTACTGACGTTTCTTCTCAGCAAGCAAGTCTGTATTACTTCAGTAGCAATAGGGCTAAGATGTTTTTGGCTGCTCTTCCACCCCTTCCCTTATTAAGTAATTTGAAACTTAAAAATCTCTGGTCTTGTGGAATAAAAACGGCCTCAAGCTGGGTTACAACTTGAGGATGCTGAAGTGGGTTGTCTCTGTCCCTGAGAAGGCAATACTTGTTTCCCAGCTGAAAATCTGCACCAGTATCATACTGAGATGTTGTCTTTCTAACTGTAACAATAGACTGGAATGTTCTTCAGTTGCCTTAAAATTTAACCAGATCCTTTTTTTTTGTTTTTGGTGGATCTTTAGTAGTATTAGCAATGCTGACATGTTAATTAGAAGTTTTGAATGGTGTGATGTGTTGCACTTTGCACATTTTTGGCAGTGACCCTTTATCCTCAGTTTCACAGGGCATACCATTTTAAGCTTGCAAAATAATTCAGTGAAAGATATGTAAATGTAACAGTTCAAGATAGCTGGATAGTGTGTTGTTTGGCTGTGAATTATACACCCCAAGAAAGAGGAAGTTCCTTAAATATCTGCCATGTGAAAAGCTCTGTTTAATGATTTATGAACAATAAATTGACGTGGTGTTGTTAAGTGTATGCCATGTGAGCAGTTGGTGGAGGGTGATCACAATTCTTGAATTCAACTGTTGAGACTAGCATGAAGAGGTCTAAATTGTCTTAAGATGAAGAAGCAAAAACCTTGTCTTGATTCAAAAAAACTGAAAAAGCCTAAGGCAGTTATGTTGTGAAATGTATTTAGTAAACTGGGAAGGAGCTTTACCCTACTTACTGCAATCTGCTAAAGTTGCAATATTAAAAAAAAGTGATAAGCAATTAGAAGTTGGGTTTTTTTGGTGGTTTCCTACTGTTTCAGAGGTGTTTTCAGTTAGAACTTACTGGTGATCTCTTGAGTGTAAGCCAGATAGTTGGATTCATAAGAGAAAAGTTCAGTGCTCTTTCTCCTTCATCTCCACCTCATAAGTCTCTGCTGTTTTACTAGAAGAAAAATCCTCGGGTGGTAATTTTTGGTCCAGTGGAGATTTTTGGATGACAGGCAGTCACTGACAGAGACATGGTGACAGAAATAGAGTAACTGAAGTTGCTAATACCATGAATATAGGGAAATAGTCTCTAAACCATGATTTCTTACTTTTTGGACACAGCCACTGTATGTGTAACACAGAAATACAATAGCTGTTGTGTGTTAGGAAAGAAAAAAGGCTCATCTATTAGCCTTGAGTGTTCTGCTGCATGTTCTTAGGGACTTGCAGTTTAAATTACTGGAGCACCTACTCTTGCTGTTTTGTGGATCTATAGGTGGAGTTTGGCATTCCTAAACGTTTGCTTATTTTTTAGGGCTTTCCATAAATATCATGCTTTTCCCATGGCTTCTGAGGGCATAACAACTGGGAAGAGTCTGGTCTAACATTTGACAGTCTGATTTACTACATTGGCTATGTCAGCTGACATGATGCATCAGCCATTTCCATCCAAACCATGAATTTGCCTAAACTTTTGCAAAACATTATTAACTTACAGCTTCTTAAGGTGTAAGATTTGAAAACTGTTAAAGCATCTGTTATTTCAACTTGTGTGTGTCTGTTTCTTGTGTTGGAAATCTTTATAGGAAAAAAAAATAGTGTTAATCTCATCAAACCACCAGTTTTCAAAGGCTGTTTAAAAACAGTTCCTGAAATGCCTGTGTATGTTTAAAAGTGGAAAATAGTATGGAAAAGCAGGAGGGTTTCAGTGTTAAGACTGCAGCATGTGGTAGCATTGATATTCTTCAAAAGTTGTAGAAATATGCTGCTATCAGTCCTGATGCATTCTCTTTAGGGTGGTTTGTTCGTTGTTCAAAGACTTCTGGAATAGTGGTCAAGATGGAGCTTGAGATATTTTCACAGAAAAGGAAAGTGATTGTTTTACCCACTGGGGAGGGGAGAGCATTCTGTGTTCCCTGTGTAACAGAGATGTGTGATCTTATCTATGGTAGCATCTAGTCACGAGCCAGTGAACCAGCATGGAATTAAATTCTGAGCTGCCTGGGACAAACTAAAACTTAGGCAAGGAAAATGAAATATTTTAAACGTCCTTTTGAAGATGCATTGAGAAAAGGCTGAAGGACAAAGTCTGCAAGTCAGTGTTGAAGAGAATGGTGCGTTTTTGCTGAAGAGTCAAACGGGAGTTTGTGACCTTAATAGCTTTCTTTTGAAAAATGTGAACATTTTTATCACAAGTCACATTGTGTGTGTATTTATTTTCTGTATGGCACATATATATATGTATATATATATAGACATAGACACACAGACTCAGCATCATTCTTACACACTTAGCCTGGCAACAGTTGCAGTATTTCAAAATTAGCATCTTTAGACACTGGAGATGGTATCTTTCCTTGTTTTTGAGATTTCAGTGAACACAATTCATTGTGCAGCTGATCTTCACAGCTTTTATTGGAAGAACTATTGTAATGAACTGAGCTTTCCTGACAGATCTTACATTTGTAAGAAATAAATCAGCTTATCTCAGTCCTTCCACTTGCTGAAACATTCTTAAATGGAATAGTTGCAAATTCATGTCTTGTAAAAAAAAAATAATTCAGTGTGTCAGCAGAGAGTGTGTACATTTCATTAATTATTGGTATGAAAAAAGAAAACCTCACTAGTATCCTTGAATTTATGACTGTATACATGTTTGTTCATGGTAGTCTGTTAAAAACTGAAGACATCAGTAAATTAATATACAATGTCACATGACAGTAGGCAAGCCTGTACAAGCTACTGACTTGTATAAACTAGCACAGCAAATGCTGGAGACATCAGGAAATGCCTTTGTAAATGTTCTGCTAAAACAAGCTTAAGTACAGCACATAATAAATGTGTTTGATTATAGCAGTCATAAGATATTGTAGCATTCATGAAGATTTCATCATCTTGCAAAATAAATGAGATTCCTGCAATATCTACTGCTGAATCCATGTTGAGAATTAATGATGCCAATTTTATTTTTTTTCCTGATGGGGATTGCTGAGGTTGGGGAATTAACTGATGATTGCCCAGCACTTAAGTGATGCTTTTACTGGCATATAGAAAGAGGATTTTTTTTCTTTTGATAACTGAGGTTTGTTTCTTTGCTAGAAGAGATTATTTCATACTTTTCCTAAGCACTGTCACTGCTTTCCAGAATAGTTTCCCTTGCTGGTGGTTTCAGATGCATAATCTTAGAACCTACCTAGATGGGCAGTTTGTCTTCTTTTATTTAAATTTGTCTCACTTTGCAAATCACGTATTGTCTCTTTCTTTATTGAGGAATTTTCTAAGGAAAACCAGTTCTTTCTATAGTCTAGGTGTCCTCCTCTTAAATACAGGAAGAAAATTCAGTTATCATGGAAACATTAAGGTTGGAAGGGACTTTAAAGATCATCAAGTTCCAACCCCCCTGCCATGAGCAGGGATCCCTCCCACTAGACCAGGTTGCACAAAACCTCATCCAGCCTAGTCTTAAAAACTTCCATGGATGGGGAATCAGCAACCTCCCTGGGCAACCTGTTCCAGTTCCTCAACACCCTTATAGTGAGGAATTTCTTCCTGATATCTAAACTAAATCTCTCCTCTCATTTTAAAACCATTCCCCCTTGTCCTATCACTGTCTTCTCTGGTGAAAAGCCCCTCCCCAGCTTTCCTGGAACCTCTTTCAAGTACTGGAAGATGCTCTAAGGTCTCCCTGGAGCCTTTTCTTCTCCAGGCTGAACAACCCCAACTCTCCTAGCCTGTCTCCTGGGTGGCCCTTCTCTGGACCCTCTCCAACATCTCCATGTCTTCCCTGTGCTGAGGGCCCCAGAGCTGTACACAGTATTCCAGGTGGGGTCTTACCAGAGCCAAGCAGAGGGGCAGAATCCCCTCCCTGGCCCTGCTGACCACACTTTTGATGCAGCCCAGGACACAACTGGCTCTCAGGGCTCCAGCACACAGTAGTGGCTCATGTTGAGCTTCTCATCAACTGCCACCCCCAAGTCCTTCTCCTCAGGACTGCTCTCCAGCCATTCTCTCCCCAGCCTGTATTTGTGCCTGGGGTTGTGCTGACCCAGGAGCAGGACCCTGCACTTAGCCTTGTTGATGAGGATACACTCAATCCCGCTGTCCCTAACTCCAACAAAGATGTTAAACAGCACTTGTCACCTGCCTCCATTTGGACACTGAGTCATTGACCACAATTCTCTGGGTGTGGCCATCCAATCTCTTATCCACCTAGTGGTCCATCCGTCAAATCCATGCCTTGTCAGTTTGGAGACCAGGATGTCACATGGGACAGTGTCAAAGGCCCTGCACAAATCCAGGTAGATGATGTCAGTTGCTCT